CCTGCTGAATCCTGGAAGGCAGACAAGAAGATGAGAGGGGAGAGAGAGCGGGCTGCGGGACATCCTTTTGTGGTCTGCTATGGAATACGACAAAATTATCACTGTTTCCTTAGTTGTTATTTACGGATGCAAGGATCTTTACCAAAAAATGCAACACACTTCCTCATCAGAAGGGGAAAAGATTCGGGCACTGTCACATCTGATTTCCAGTTTCTAGGAGGGATACACAGGCTGCGAGGCAGGCAGCCCTCCAGGTTTTTTGGAGGGAGCAGGGAGGAATGATTACCAGCATGGTGATTGTCCTCTCCAATCATTTTAGTATTTCCATTTCCTTGTTTAGTTGATCTTTGGGGAGGGGGGCGGGGAGAAATAACAGGAAAGTGCTTTGAAATGTTCCTAATGACGATTTTTCTGACTTTATAAGTTCCTTGCGTAAGTTCACGAGCGCTTGTCAGTGCAGGGAGTCACCCCATCCTACACCGGCCACGCGCTGTCATTAGCCAGCTCCGCCTAACGAGCCCCCCGTGCCCTTCGCTGAAGGGGTGTTATGCAGCCCTGCCCTCTCCAGAGCGTACACGTGCACCCACATACTACGCTGAAAACAGGACAAGCCTTGCTTAGGCTGTTCGGTGTCCACAAATAGGTTCGAGAAAATGCATTTAGCTTTGATTTTCATGGAGCGCCTGCCCAAGTCTCCCTCTGCTCCATACGCTGGACTGCTGCTCCGTGGACCACGCACGTAACAGTCACGCCCAGAGACGCATCCCTACACCCTGCAGCAGCGGGAAGGTTTCTGAGCTCCCCCTGAATAAATCCACAGCTTTTGTGCTGCATCCAAAAGCACCATAGATATTTAATGCCACACGGTTCCTCATTTAGAGTACGAAGGTACCACGATTGTGTTTGCCTGGGAACGGAAGGGATTCAGGGATGCTGCTCCTGAAGCTCAGTTGCTCAGCTCAAGATCTTTTGGACTGCGCTGCACCGCGCAGGTGTAACCAAAAAGAGATCGCCCTTCCCTGGCCTGTCATCCCAGCTCTTATCACTCTGGAATGGACAATCTGCAGGCCAAGGAAATGTGTCCTGTGGATGAGGCATCAGGAGAAATGATCCACACCTCCTAGGTTATATTCTCTAATCTGGAAGCACGGGGAAGTTTTCTGAGTAAGTATAAGGAGACTTGAGATTTGGCACTCCTAAAGGCCATCCCAGACCTGGAAAGATCAACATCCAGCTGGCCAGTGCAGGCGCAGTCTGGATGGACTTTCATTTCCCGGAGAAGGGAGCTGAAACCAGGGATCAGAGCAAAGGCACCAGACAGGAGAACTCCCGGGCCTCCTGCACAGCCCTGCTGCTGGAATGTGTGACCCTCGAGTCATTGCTTACCACCGCCTCCCTCTCCCTGCCTGCAAAAAGTGAGTAATGGCACCGGCCTTGTCTCCTGTGGGGCTCCGCATCTTCCCTGACCGATGCTTAGAGAAGCCCATCCGGAAGGTACTTGGGAATAGCAGGGGATTGTTTGTTTTAATTTCATTAATATTTTATTTGACCCTCATCGTGAAAGCCACGGGGGACTCATCCCGTATTAATTCCCATACACAACAATTCATTAACTGAGACCTCTTCTTTAATAGGAAACCGGCTTACGATGGTTGGTAACTGACCTGATGGAGGCAGAGCACTCTCCTAACCCCCACCAGCTGACATCTTTCACAGCCCCACGTTTCTGTCATGCTTCGGCCTTTGGTGGCTATTGCAGCCAGTTACCTTGATACGATTCTAGACAAGCATCTAGAATTAACATTTCTTACACGAAACAAACATTGTGAGGAAAGCGATCCTAATTTAACTCAACTCCAACGTACGCCGTGTTGGCAACCTTCAAGTATTAGCTCAGCTCTGAACACAGCGAAGCAGCATCAGCCCATTACCAACGTGTCACTGCTCTTTACATTCCTCGGGGATGCCACCCACGCCAAAGAACCCAACATCACAATGCAGCACACAGGTCTCCCTTCAGCTTTCCAGTAACCCTGTCATGACAATTATGGTCCTCTTTCCAGAGAAGTAAGTCGGAGGAATAATATGCAGCCGACCACCTACCGAAACTTCCCTTTTTAAAAGAAATACCAGCTCGGCACATACGGCAGCCGCCGAGTATGCGGTACCAAACACAGCCAGAAACAAAGAGGTGTGCTTCAGCACACACAATTAATCACCGGGGCAAAAGTTTCTATCACTTGGAGAGCGAAGGCTTTGCGAAAATATATACCAGAGTCGATGGACACGTTACCAGGCCCCGTACAGCACCTGTTATGTCAGAGGCCGGATGAGAGGATCGCAATGCCACCTTATGATTTTAACATCTATGAAGGAAAAGCTCGGAGCGTGAGCCTTGACAATTAACAGAGTTACATCTAACCCTTCCCATCACCAAAAATCCCCGCAAACGTCTCCCAAGAGTCCTTCGGACTCTGCGGTTTTGGAAAGGAAACGAGACGTTTGGCAGGGCTGCTGTCGAAGGGATGACCTTTTCCTGGCCCCGCGAAGCCCGTTACAGGTCTGACTGAGTTACGAGGCATTGTGAACCGCTATTTTCTCTTTGCGTTGCGTACAACCCAGCTTGGTTTGGCTTGTTGCCCAAACCCCTCCATATTCTCGTGTAAGCCCTGGTGCAGTCTCCCGCGGGCAACACACACTCGACAGGCATCCCCCACGTGGGATCCAAAATGGATCCCACTCCTCCTCCTCCCCAGCTTCAAGTAGTTCTCCAGGGCAAAGGTGGACTGTCCTGCACAGGCAGCCAGACCACAAGCTCCAGTTCTTCTTCCACTGAAGGATGGAGATAAGCTCTCTCCTTCCCAGGTTGTAGTGTGGAGCGACCCTTCACGGGTGACAAAACTGGAATCAGGTCCGTCTCAAATGAGATGCGCTCAAGTTTTACCTACTGCAGTATACGCCCTCAGGTTCTCTCAGAAAACTGGCTGGGTGCTTGTCCTTGGCTCAGGGTAGCATTAGACTGAAGATCTGAGAAAATAAACTTTCCTAGATGGCAACAGAAACAGAGGAAACGGGAACAGGACCGAGATGTCTAGGATGGTGTTTGGGAGCCTGGCCGGGACTGTAAATGCCATGTCCCAACAGCAGGGAGGCAACTTCCAGTGAGACAGGGAAGTCTGGGAGGTCCCTCCAAGCCCAACGGGGGGCTGAAGGGTTTTGTCCCTCCAACTGGTGCTCAGCGGCAGAGGATGGGCTGCCCGAACCTGGGGCTGCAGTGTGCTTGAGAACGTTAAAAGCCAGCCAAGGCCCAGCTAGTCCTCCCTGAGGCCAGTAACAGGAGAAGGGCGAGCTGAAGGCTCCCAGTCACTTAAGGAAAAGGGCTAACACCATCCGTTCCTTCAGCTAGCAGGCACTTAAGGCTTGATCCAGTCCTCGCTGAAATTAGCTGCTGGTGCTCAGTTGTCAATAGTTACCACAGTCGATTCCCTTCCTTTTGTACTAGTCCTCTCCTGCGGGAGAAAAAACCCCGAACTCAAAACCCAAAAGCATCTACTTGGCTTTATTATCGACTCCTCCTCATCTCCTCCGACTGTAAGGTCACAGTGATCTCAAGCAGATCCAGACCTGGATCAAGCAGGAGGGGAGGTGCAGCAGGCAGAACGCGACTGTGGTACGTGATGCAGGAGTCCCCCCTGAACTAGTCACTGAGGATTTGGGGTAGACCTTCTTCTCTCCACCGAGGCTCTGCCTAGACACTACCTGGTAGACCTTATAGACCTGGTAGACCATACAGACCTGTAGACCATATAGACCTGTAGACCATACAGACCTGGTAGACCATACAGATCTGGTAGACCATACAGACTTGGTAGATCATACAGACCTGGTAGGCCTCAGCTGGAGGCACTGAGTGCAAAGAGGTCAAGGTGCATGGCTGGATCGTTCAGCCTCAAAGTAGAAATGAATTAAAACCACTGTCACCCATCAGGACCACAAATGCTGCAGGAAGGGGCAATGTGACAGCATCTGTTATTTTAAATAAAATGGGACAGCGCCTGTTCTCTGGTGCTGGGGGTGATTGGCATTACACAGCGTGCACCCAGATGGCAAAGTTCTACCCTCCAAAAAGGGATGGACACACCTAACCTGGCCCCTGGCAATCAGCATGGTCCTGTGCTGACTCCTAAACCACACTCGGGCATCATCCGTGAGAGCACACGTTGGCACAGACCAAAGGAACGCCATGGTAATGGACAGCCGGTGCTGCGCACCCGTGTTGTTACTACAGATACAGCCAGCGTTATCTTCCACTAGATGCCAGTCCATGGAAAATAAGTTTGGAGTGAGGAGTCGGTTCCTCCTTTAGTCTAAGGACAGATGTTCTGAGCCTCAAACCTCTTGTTTTCTTCAGCTGGGAACTGCTGACAGTACACCGTGACTATTCTTTAAAGTCATTTTTTGAAACATAGGAACTACATCCAAAATCCTACATGAAATCAAAGGCATTTGGCTTGCAAAGGCAGGGATTTAGAAGTCAGAAGATGTGAGAAAATTAAGCTGAGTCTGTTTCTCTGCAATTCATTAGCTCTGCGTTCCCATCCTGGTTTTTCTCTTCCCCCTTCTGCCAAGGGACACGGGTTAGCACTGGAGGGAGCCAACCAGGGTGGCGAAATGAACACAGCTGCTTTCTAACACATTGCAGATGCTGGGAAGTGTCCTCAAAGTAAACGGGATGATAACCGATGGACCCCTCTTGATATGTAATGATCCTTCCAAAGGGAGCAGTATAGCCAGGGGACACGCACCGTGGGTGGGAAGTCAGAAGTTGGCATGTTTATATAATACTGCCCAGTGAATGACGGTCCAGGCAACATATTTGTAGTTCCCATCTCCGTTTCCCTCATTTATAAAATGAAAGAAAAAAATCCCAGAAGTTGAATCGAGGTTAACAACCGTGTAACATCT